TCTTCTCATTTTCTTCGCAAACATTTCGCAGAATCTGAAGCATGTACACTTAAACGTGATATATGTAAAGTATCTATTTTTATAAATCAAATTTTAGTACTCTGGTTACAATCGATGATGAACGCAAACATTTCCAAGTAAAGAAATCTCTTATGTGAAAGGCGCGTGTCTGAACTTTGACTTAAAGAAAAAACATTTTTCAATTGCATCGCGAAAAGGCAACGACTTTAATTAGCTCGTAATTTACAGGAACTTATCATGCATATATTTTTGACATTTTTTTTTTTTCATTATTTACGACTTGTGCCACAAACATCTCTAAAGTTTCATAATAAAATCTCGCAAGATATCGACGTTAAAAGAGGCATCCTATTTACCCAATCTTCTTTCTATCGTATATTGTAAATTATATTATATAATATTATATTATATATAATCAAATTGTATTGAAAAAAGCGATCAAATCCCGATTAAACCGGCAAAATTTTTCTCATATTAAAAAAAAAAATATTGCATTTTTACAAAGAGATACAAACGTCAAACATTTCTCGACTGGAAAACAGATGTTCGAACAGTTCGAAATGGGAACTTTACCCTGATTCTATCATTCAACAATTCTCAACACTCATGTGTGTATCGCGACAGATAAGAGAAAGAGAGAGAGAGAGAGAACGCAAAATGCGACGAGAATTATTGCTCGCGATTGCAAGGAGTTTCACGATTTACAAATAGTGCGACTTAGCTTTCGAGACTTGTACCTACTTTCGAGACTTCCCCGAGCACGAAAGTGGCTGCGTCACTCGAGAAAATCAGAGACACTTGTCGCATCACGTTATCGTCATCGTCGTCGTCTCGAAGCGCGGAACTATCTCGACCATCTTACTTAAATCGTCGGCTCTCGAACCGAAGTCTCGCTTTCAGCTGATGTATGTCAAAGATTATTATTCACAATCGTTCTTCGAATTTTCGCAGAGTTCAAAAAAAACATGACGGAATGAATGCAAAATCTCGTTTCGAGAAAAATGGACCGCGTATCTGTAGTCGCGTTACTGTGGAAGCGTGTCGAATAATTAGAATGAGAGGGAGAGTGGGGTTTTTTGTGTATTGAAACGCGCGGTTCGGTAATCGCGTTTCGAGCAAAGCGATCAATTGGAGAGACTGTCAAGCGATCATTCATGAAACCTGACCTGAGATTCAAAAGCGACACCTTTAAAGCGTTTAAAAAAAAAAAAAAAAAATAAAGAATAAAAAATATCACCTGCTATTCATTGCATTTTATACAAAAAACCTGTATTTTTCTTTTTCTATTATGCACATCTATAGCGCGTTTAAAGTTCTGAGAAAGATTGATGACGTTACAACCTTGTCGTAAATTTTAATTATATCGGCATACAATTATCGTCTCAATCATTATTAATCTTCATCTTATTAATTGAACTGATTTACATCTACTACCTGAAAAAAAAAGTATAGTTTGTGAAATATCTATCGGAGATATAAACAATAAATGATAATTTAGAAAAATATTTAAAAAAAAGCACAGCCCTTTTTTAATTAATCTTTTGTAAGATTGATTTATGAGATATCTTTAAAAGATTATAAATCGCAATCTCTTCTCGAGTCATCTTCGAATTGCATTCGAACTTTCCCCAAATTCGAAGAATGTTAATACGCGATTTTATAACAATAAAATTCCCTCCTTCTCGGGAAACGATAATATTATTCAATTAATTAAGCGAAAAACAAGAGCCAAGGCTATGCTACATCTTCGTCAGCAGACTCGCGATTGATTAGAAATATAACGTCATAAATATGGAATTGACCAAAGATGCGCTTGCATCGCGAATTGTATCACGTCTCGAGACCGGCCTTGATCGAATTCCTCACCACGAGAAACATTGTAAAAAAAGAAAAAAGAAAAAAAAAGAAAAAAAAAGAAAAAAGAAAAAAAAAGAAAAATATGCGGACGTTAACCCCTCTCCATTGTCACTATAATGATACTATATCGCCGATTGATAAGCGTTTGACGTCTCGCGGAATCGGCACGAGATGTATCTCAACGCGACTTACTCGACAATGAGATATCGCGCTGCCGTGACGTCACCGGAAAAATAGATCGGAACAAACCTGACGCGCGTATCTCTCTTGTCGCTCGTACGTGTACGAGATATCCGTCCACGTCTACGTCGCGCGTATGCGCGATAAAATAGAGAATTAAGAGAGAAAGAGAAAGACAGAGAGAGAGAGAGAGAGAGCGAGCGAAATAATGTCACATACATACCTCATGATAAAAAGAAAGACCCCGCAGAAGCATATCAGCACGGCGAGCACCGAGAAGATGTTGGACAGCTCCGCAACGGACACCAACATCGCCGTCATCGTCGTGTCGCGTGATTCCCGCCGTCGCCGTCCGCCGACGCGTCGTCCTCCTCAACACCGGGGTGGTCCGCGCCGCCCGCACACATGCACGCACAACACGCACACGATGACACGAAGCCACACCACGCGAGCACCGTGTCCTCCTCCTCCTCCTCCTCCTCTTCCTCTTCTTCGCGCCGCGACTTCAACTGTCAACTGTCAACTTGTTCGCGTTAACGTCGTCCCACGTTATTCCCGGAGGCGCTTGACGAGCGCGCCGTCGTCGACTCCTCCGCATCGACGTCCGCGCGCGCGACGTCGTGCGACAACTTCACACGACGACGGCGACGGCGACGGCGACGACGACAACGCTTGATATATACAATTCGCACGACAGACGAGACGCTGCCGGCCGAGAGGCGACGCGTCGACTTCGCTAACATAATCGTAAAGACATTGGACCGAATGATGAGAGGGACGTGTATAATAACTGTACGCGATCGAAATGAGAAAGAGAGAGAGAGAGAGAGAGAGAGAGAGATGCGAGCAGAGCGATCTACGCGTTACGTATCGTTCGGCGGACTAGACGAGACTGACTTCGCGCTGTCGCGGTGCGCGCCACTTAACGCGCCTATATTCGCGTCGTTCGTTATCCACGTCGCCGCAAGAGCGCGCTCGCGTCGCCGCCATTACGAATCGAATAAAAATTCTCTTACGACAATAAGAATATATAGATGCATATATAAATATATATGCATGTCATATCTATTCTTCAAATACTTCTTCGTATATTCCTATCTCTTCGAAAAATAGTTTTATATTGTTCCCATTTTATTTTATTAGTCTTTTATTAATATTATTAGCTTTATTATAATCCAATATTTTTTTTTTTTATTTTCGTGATAAATTATGTACAATGATTACAAATGCCAAAATACTTCACGGTGCGACAGGCATTTTCTTTCTATCATTTTCCGTTATTTGGAAAAAGAATTGCTCTAATAAAATAATTTTTTTTTTAAAGAAAAAATGTAGGACCACTGTATTTTTTCTAATTATTCAGGCCTGCATTGTTGGATTCGAAGAGATAGATAAACAGGACAAAAAGTAAAATATAATTTTAGGATACCTGAAATTTCAAACGAATGCCAATTATTTCTAAATATCGCGAACCAGCGACATCTGGATTAAAGAGAGTCGCCTCGGAAAACGTTTCAACGTCGAATGATCGGATTCACCATCACCATCCTCTTCTGCTCATTAATCTCGTTGTCGTTTCTCGAGCAGTCGTCGCCGCATCCGGGACATTACCCGGTAATGTCGAGAATGTTCGCGGTAGATTTCGAGGTCTTCGGCGTCGTGCAAGGTAAACAAAACGATTCACATCGGCGTCGTTCGCGTTTTTTCATCTCGGTTTATTAGTGCCACCAATTTTATAGCGCTCTTTTTCAAGGTGTCTTCTTCCGGAAGGTGGGTAAACCGGCATACATCAAAGAACCTGATCTTGACAATTTAATCGCGTCCGCCCGCGATCCACGACGAGGAAATCTACGCCGGAGAGCAACTCTCGCTCGCGACATCTATCGAGTGTCCGGCGTGTAATCGCGCGTTTTTACTTCACGTAGATATGAACGCACATCGTTTTTATCGACTAACTTAATTATTATCCATCGCGTCTTTCCTAATTGTCGATAACGATGAAATCTAGCCTAAAAAATTTTATTTAAATTTTAAATGCATCTCGTTTTTATATGCATATGGCAAAACACAAAAAATGGCCTTGACTTTTTATTAAAGAGAATTATTCCTCTAATATTGTCTAAAAAAATTAACTTTTATCATATCAATCTCAAATTTATACTTGAATGTACGCACGCGATACATTTTTGCAGTAAAATGTTATTTATTTTTACTTTTTTAAAATAACCTTTTGTATATGGATGAATCTATAGATACCTTATTTGTGTTTGCGACTAAAAACAGTATACGCAGAAACGTGGTAAGGAGTTGGGTCTGAAAGGATGGTGCATGAACACCTCGAACGGTACCGTCGTCGGTCGTTTGGAAGGGGAAAAGTCTCAAGTCGAGGAAATGTAAGCTTCCGTTAATAAGAATGAGCGAGAACGTTCTTTCGAGTTATTCTCGCCCGTCTTTTTCTTTTATTTCAGGAAACAATGGCTTCGTCACACCGGCAGTCCTCAATCGCGGATCGACAAGGCGGAATTTCGCAACGAGAAAGAAATCTCGCAGCCGTCGTTCTCGAACTTTGAAATTCGGAAATAGGAGCGCTCGCGAGCGAGGAGTTGTAATAAAAATATAAATGCCCTAATAATTAGTTTGAATAATTTAAGTGATCGCTCTTATAATAAAATCGCTATTTAAATAAATATAATATAAAATGTACAACAAAATTTTCATCCTTCAGTGGCAGGTGTCGAAGGTTCCGAATATCGCGTAAATGTTTCTCTCTTGTTCCGAAAAAGTAACATCCTTTCAACATTTATACGGAAGACGATTCATCCACGTAATTATTTTAAACGAAAATCGTCGAGAAATAAATTGATTTGTTTTAAGAAAGCTATTTCACAAAGAAACCAATTCCTTTCTATCGTTCATTCTCTCAAAGATGTATAAAAATCGTCCTCGTATAATTTTTTAAATGAAATATCAATTCTTTTCTTTTATTACGACGATTACAACGAAATTAATATTTTCTATACGTCTTGATGTTCCTCTATTTTTAAAAACGAATCCAAGTTTTTATCCTTGATGGAACGATTCGCTTCCGGATATATGTACGTGGAGAAGTGTGGAGGAGCGACTCGCCAGCAGCCAGCATCTCCCCACGAGAGAGAATTCCTCTCATTAGTCGGCGAACGCGCGGCGAACAGCGCGGATCCATTCGTGATTGTCCTCTACTCTTTTCCATCTTTTTCGTATAACGTATAATAATTTTCGAATACTTCTCGTTGAGGACGTGTCTCGCGTCGTCGTAATTCGATTCCGACTCTGTGATCGATCTCGATCGGATTACACACGGCCGAGAAGACGATCGAATTCGCGTCGCGAATAGCCGATATCGGAATAATGTTATGATCGATGCCCAAGAGGAGGTGAGCGAGCGGAGGACGAGGAGGAGGTGGAGGTGAACCAGCATGAGGTGTTTCGAGAGCTTCTTCAAGCGCACCTGGCGGCCGCAGCAGGTGAGTGAAAAATAAACTTTCAGGTGTTTTTTTTTTTTTTCTTCTATCTTACAACTCGATCTTATCGTCATCACGAAAGTGTATCATCACTCGGAACGATATATCTCTCGTTATTCCGCTTGCGATCGTTTCGCCGAATGTTCCGACATCGTTAACACGTGCCATCAGGTATGACAGTTGCGACCTTATTACGCGTATAATTAACGCTTTGTAAATCGTAGCGAGAAGCGCAATATGTGAAATATTTTTTAATTTTGTTCTTTTTCTCTTATTTTGTGTAGCTTAATTTTTTTTTCGCTTCAATATTTTACAATTTATTTCTCCATCCGTTTTAGCATTCTTTTCGATTACTGTTCTATAAAGCATTAAAAGAAATCACTTTTACAGCAACTTTGGACGGCAAAATTTTTTATCAGTTCCGGTTCGTCGCGTAACAGACATTTATTTCTGCCTCAAAAAACCGGAATGTAGGATCAAGTTTCCTCGGATATACAAAAAATAAACTACGTGTGCGTTAATTATATAAGATCACCGAAGCATTAAGCCTTATTTCTACCAAACACTATAGTGAGAGATTATCAGACAAATTATCATTCTATTTTGATTTATATTTGATAAATATCTATCTAGCCTCTGCGATTAATTTATTACACTCGGGAAGAGTTAAAGTTATTCCGTGGCAGACACATTTTTATCTCCATTCTTGCGCCTTCGGTATGCACAAGTGTGAATTTGAAAACATTCATTATAATTTCTGTTGGTTTACTTATTTCTCTTTTTTTTCTTCGCGCGACTCGCTTGAACGCGTCCGTGTGTTATCGCGCGATAAAAGTCGATAAGAATTGGTCAAAATGGCCAGACGAGTTTAATCAGGCGACGATCGTAATCGATCAACGATACATTCGCACCTTTCCAGTTATGCGCGAGGAATTCCGACCATGTTTCTGCAAAAGCCACGCGTTTCGCGCCATCGAGGTCGTGGCTGATGTTATCGGAAAATAATGACGGACGAGACCGAATTACGCAAGGTAGTCGCGATTATACGTAAACACACGGGAACTCGCCCGCACATCATGTTTGCTCGTGCACCAAGATGTCCTTTCCCCTTCCTATCCTCTAGCTGTCTAACTTATCAGGCATTTATATTTGACGTATTTGCGATGCACATATTGCAAACAGGAACGTTTCGCGTTCTCTTTCACTCTCTTAAATTTAATCAGCTTTCCAGTGATAATACTCTGATTCCATTTAAGAGAACACGTATTTAGTGCTGACAAGAATAATAATAATTAATGGTGAGAGCTAATAATTAGTTATTAAATAATAAAAATAATAATGTTGTTGCGAGAGTAATAAACAAACTCGGGATGAAACGGGTATTTATGTGATTAGGGTGACTTCTCCCATCAAGATTTTCGACGATAACTCCGAGGAGGAGGAGGAGGAGCCAGTTTATTAGCCGGTTGGTCATGGGTCGCGGTTGATAAGCGCTGATAATAGCTCTTGAGCGACCTACTGAACTGGTCAGTTCTTACGGCGATTTGCGTCGCGCGACACCGCGTTACTCGTTCTCCGTCAAAGTAAATCCGTATCGGCGCGGAGATTAGCGTTCCGAAGAATCGCTCTTAAGAATTGCACAGCTTTTCGAGGCACATCCTCGCGATGCGATAGTATGAACGAGAACGATCACCATATCGGCAAATATGGACACATATTCAACGTGAGTGATGCCGATCATCGTGTGTGTGAGTGTGTGTGTGTCTACGACTTGAGAATTAATATCTGCAAAATTAACATCAATTGAATTAGTTGCGATATTAATGCAGACTTAATATATATATAATATTATTTTTATATTTTTTTCTGTATCAATTAGGTACTTTTTTCAAACTAAGCTATATATTTTTTACCAAATCTAGCGATAAAAAAAATTCAGGAGATGCAGCTCCTTGTAATTTTATCTAGATGTGCATTCAAAGTGCAACGCGATGCAGCCGATATTACATTCATTATGTTGATATTTTAAAATGCGTTCTTCTTCCTTTCTACTATTAATTGTTTATCCGTACTAATTGTTTATTACGCCAAGCCGAATAACGGATGGCTCAATAATAATCTTGAAATACGAGTTCTCGCGTAATCTGCTGCGAATAGTATTTCGTTTATCCAATATCATTTCTTTCTATTCTTTTATGTAACAACGCCGACACCGGTGATTACAATTTTCAAGTCGACCGTGCATTCGAGAAAATGATTATATCCGCCGTAAATAGATCTCGTTGTTAAAAACGACACGCTCGATCGCCTCTAATCGGGTCGTTGACTGCCGTCAATTCGTCCGAACGGTGAAAGTCGTGTAACGATTAACGGGACCTCTCCCCCAAAAAAAGCAACGCCCGTTAATCGAAATGCAGCGCGAATAGAAAATTCGACAATTTTTTAAAAATTGCCATTCGCTATATTAATTCCGTCGTATTAAATTCGTCAATGTTGAAACATCGGATTCATATTCAGCAAACCTGAGAAAATCCTTGGGTTTGAATAAATATATTGAAAAATATTTACTAGAACCTTAATGAGATAGCGGATCCATACGAATCGGAGATTATCTGGACCACGGGAATACGTTTCCTTCGTTATAAACTCGATGTACAGGACCGCGTCGCATCTACAGCGGAATTCCCCCTTCCTCTCGAAAAGCCGGATTCCTGAAGCACGCGTAATCACCGGCTGTTTTGTTCCTTTCACTCTCCAATTCTCGCGCGTATCGTTGAATTCGATTCATTGCGACTGAGTTAAAAGATATTTGTACTGAGTCCAAATTAATTTATAAACTATGATTAAAGATAAACGACCCGAAATAACTCTGTGTGTGCGATATAAAATATAATATATAATAAAAATAATAGAAAATAATATATAATATTATATTATATAAAGAAAGGCGCGTGTCTGAACTTTGACTTAAAGAAAAAACATTTTTCAATTGCATCGCGAAAAGGCAACGACTTTAATTAGCTCGTAATTTACAGGAACTTATCATGCATATATTTTTGACATTTTTTTTTTTTCATTATTTACGACTTGTGCCACAAACATCTCTAAAGTTTCATAATAAAATCTCGCAAGATATCGACGTTAAAAGAGGCATCCTATTTACCCAATCTTCTTTCTATCGTATATTGTAAATTATATTATATAATATTATATTATATATAATCAAATTGTATTGAAAAAAGCGATCAAATCCCGATTAAACCGGCAAAATTTTTCTCATATTAAAAAAAAAAATATTGCATTTTTACAAAGAGATACAAACGTCAAACATTTCTCGACTGGAAAACAGATGTTCGAACAGTTCGAAATGGGAACTTTACCCTGATTCTATCATTCAACAATTCTCAACACTCATGTGTGTATCGCGACAGATAAGAGAAAGAGAGAGAGAGAGAGAACGCAAAATGCGACGAGAATTATTGCTCGCGATTGCAAGGAGTTTCACGATTTACAAATAGTGCGACTTAGCTTTCGAGACTTGTACCTACTTTCGAGACTTCCCCGAGCACGAAAGTGGCTGCGTCACTCGAGAAAATCAGAGACACTTGTCGCATCACGTTATCGTCATCGTCGTCGTCTCGAAGCGCGGAACTATCTCGACCATCTTACTTAAATCGTCGGCTCTCGAACCGAAGTCTCGCTTTCAGCTGATGTATGTCAAAGATTATTATTCACAATCGTTCTTCGAATTTTCGCATAGTGCCACCAATTTTATAGCGCTCTTTTTCAAGGTGTCTTCTTCCGGAAGGTGGGTAAACCGGCATACATCAAAGAACCTGATCTTGACAATTTAATCGCGTCCGCCCGCGATCCACGACGAGAAAATCTACGCCGGAGAGCAACTCTCGCTCGCGACATCTATCGAGTGTCCGGCGTGTAATCGCGCGCTTTTACTTCACGTAGATATGAACGCACATCGTTTTTATCGACTAACTTAATTATTATCCATCGCGTCTTTCCTAATTGTCGATAACGATGAAATCTAGCCTAAAAAATTTTATTTAAATTTTAAATGCATCTCGTTTTTATATGCATATGGCAAAACACAAAAAATGGCCTTGACTTTTTATTAAAGAGAATTATTCCTCTAATATTGTCTAAAAAAATTAACTTTTATCATATCAATCTCAAATTTATACTTGAATGTACGCACGCGATACATTTTTGCAGTAAAATGTTATTTATTTTTACTTTTTTAAAATAACCTTTTGTATATGGATGAATCTATAGATACCTTATTTGTGTTTGCGACTAAAAACAGTATACGCAGAAACGTGGTAAGGAGTTGGGTCTGAAAGGATGGTGCATGAACACCTCGAACGGTACCGTCGTCGGTCGTTTGGAAGGGGAAAAGTCTCAAGTCGAGGAAATGTAAGCTTCCGTTAATAAGAATGAGCGAGAACGTTCTTTCGAGTTATTCTCGCCCGTCTTTTTCTTTTATTTCAGGAAACAATGGCTTCGTCACACCGGCAGTCCTCAATCGCGGATCGACAAGGCGGAATTTCGCAACGAGAAAGAAATCTCGCAGCCGTCGTTCTCGAACTTTGAAATTCGGAAATAGGAGCGCTCGCGAGCGAGGAGTTGTAATAAAAATATAAATGCCCTAATAATTAGTTTGAATAATTTAAGTGATCGCTCTTATAATAAAATCGCTATTTAAATAAATATAATATAAAATGTACAACAAAATTTTCATCCTTCAGTGGCAGGTGTCGAAGGTTCCGAATATCGCGTAAATGTTTCTCTCTTGTTCCGAAAAAGTAACATCCTTTCAACATTTATACGGAAGACGATTCATCCACGTAATTATTTTAAACGAAAATCGTCGAGAAATAAATTGATTTGTTTTAAGAAAGCTATTTCACAAAGAAACCAATTCCTTTCTATCGTTCATTCTCTCAAAGATGTATAAAAATCGTCCTCGTATAATTTTTTAAATGAAATATCAATTCTTTTCTTTTATTACGACGATTACAACGAAATTAATATTTTCTATACGTCTTGATGTTCCTCTATTTTTAAAAACGAATCCAAGTTTTTATCCTTGATGGAACGATTCGCTTCCGGATATATGTACGTGGAGAAGTGTGGAGGAGCGACTCGCCAGCAGCCAGCATCTCCCCACGAGAGAGAATTCCTCTCATTAGTCGGCGAACGCGCGGCGAACAGCGCGGATCCATTCGTGATTGTCCTCTACTCTTTTCCATCTTTTTCGTATAACGTATAATAATTTTCGAATACTTCTCGTTGAGGACGTGTCTCGCGTCGTCGTAATTCGATTCCGACTCTGTGATCGATCTCGATCGGATTACACACGGCCGAGAAGACGATCGAATTCGCGTCGCGAATAGCCGATATCGGAATAATGTTATGATCGATGCCCAAGAGGAGGTGAGCGAGCGGAGGACGAGGAGGAGGTGGAGGTGAACCAGCATGAGGTGTTTCGAGAGCTTCTTCAAGCGCACCTGGCGGCCGCAGCAGGTGAGTGAAAAATAAACTTTCAGGTGTTTTTTTTTTTTTTCTTCTATCTTACAACTCGATCTTATCGTCATCACGAAAGTGTATCATCACTCGGAACGATATATCTCTCGTTATTCCGCTTGCGATCGTTTCGCCGAATGTTCCGACATCGTTAACACGTGCCATCAGGTATGACAGTTGCGACCTTATTACGCGTATAATTAACGCTTTGTAAATCGTAGCGAGAAGCGCAATATGTGAAATATTTTTTAATTTTGTTCTTTTTCTCTTATTTTGTGTAGCTTAATTTTTTTTTCGCTTCAATATTTTACAATTTATTTCTCCATCCGTTTTAGCATTCTTTTCGATTACTGTTCTATAAAGCATTAAAAGAAATCACTTTTACAGCAACTTTGGACGGCAAAATTTTTTATCAGTTCCGGTTCGTCGCGTAACAGACATTTATTTCTGCCTCAAAAAACCGGAATGTAGGATCAAGTTTCCTCGGATATACAAAAAATAAACTACGTGTGCGTTAATTATATAAGATCACCGAAGCATTAAGCCTTATTTCTACCAAACACTATAGTGAGAGATTATCAGACAAATTATCATTCTATTTTGATTTATATTTGATAAATATCTATCTAGCCTCTGCGATTAATTTATTACACTCGGGAAGAGTTAAAGTTATTCCGTGGCAGACACATTTTTATCTCCATTCTTGCGCCTTCGGTATGCACAAGTGTGAATTTGAAAACATTCATTATAATTTCTGTTGGTTTACTTATTTCTCTTTTTTTTCTTCGCGCGACTCGCTTGAACGCGTCCGTGTGTTATCGCGCGATAAAAGTCGATAAGAATTGGTCAAAATGGCCAGACGAGTTTAATCAGGCGACGATCGTAATCGATCAACGATACATTCGCACCTTTCCAGTTATGCGCGAGGAATTCCGACCATGTTTCTGCAAAAGCCACGCGTTTCGCGCCATCGAGGTCGTGGCTGATGTTATCGGAAAATAATGACGGACGAGACCGAATTACGCAAGGTAGTCGCGATTATACGTAAACACACGGGAACTCGCCCGCACATCATGTTTGCTCGTGCACCAAGATGTCCTTTCCCCTTCCTATCCTCTAGCTGTCTAACTTATCAGGCATTTATATTTGACGTATTTGCGATGCACATATTGCAAACAGGAACGTTTCGCGTTCTCTTTCACTCTCTTAAATTTAATCAGCTTTCCAGTGATAATACTCTGATTCCATTTAAGAGAACACGTATTTAGTGCTGACAAGAATAATAATAATTAATGGTGAGAGCTAATAATTAGTTATTAAATAATAAAAATAATAATGTTGTTGCGAGAGTAATAAACAAACTCGGGATGAAACGGGTATTTATGTGATTAGGGTGACTTCTCCCATCAAGATTTTCGACGATAACTCCGAGGAGGAGGAGGAGGAGCCAGTTTATTAGCCGGTTGGTCATGGGTCGCGGTTGATAAGCGCTGATAATGGCTCTTGAGCGACCTACTGAACTGGTCAGTTCTTACGGCGATTTGCGTCGCGCGACACCGCGTTACTCGTTCTCCGTCAAAGTAAATCCGTATCGGCGCGGAGATTAGCGTTCCGAAGAATCGCTCTTAAGAATTGCACAGCTTTTCGAGGCACATCCTCGCGATGCGATAGTATGAACGAGAACGATCACCATATCGGCAAATATGGACACATATTCAACGTGAGTGATGCCGATCATCGTGTGTGTGAGTGTGTGTGTGTCTACGACTTGAGAATTAATATCTGCAAAATTAACATCAATTGAATTAGTTGCGATATTAATGCAGACTTAATATATATATAATATTATTTTTATATTTTTTTCTGTATCAATTAGGTACTTTTTTCAAACTAAGCTATATATTTTTTACCAAATCTAGCGATAAAAAAAATTCAGGAGATGCAGCTCCTTGTAATTTTATCTAGATGTGCATTCAAAGTGCAACGCGATGCAGCCGATATTACATTCATTATGTTGATATTTTAAAATGCGTTCTTCTTCCTTTCTACTATTAATTGTTTATCCGTACTAATTGTTTATTACGCCAAGCCGAATAACGGATGGCTCAATAATAATCTTGAAATACGAGTTCTCGCGTAATCTGCTGCGAATAGTATTTCGTTTATCCAATATCATTTCTTTCTATTCTTTTATGTAACAACGCCGACACCGGTGATTACAATTTTCAAGTCGACCGTGCATTCGAGAAAATGATTATATCCGCCGTAAATAGATCTCGTTGTTAAAAACGACACGCTCGATCGCCTCTAATCGGGTCGTTGACTGCCGTCAATTCGTCCGAACGGTGAAAGTCGTGTAACGATTAACGGGACCTCTCCCCCAAAAAAAGCAACGCCCGTTAATCGAAATGCAGCGCGAATAGAAAATTCGACAATTTTTTAAAAATTGCCATTCGCTATATTAATTCCGTCGTATTAAATTCGTCAATGTTGAAACATCGGATTCATATTCAGCAAACCTGAGAAAATCCTTGGGTTTGAATAAATATATTGAAAAATATTTACTAGAACCTTAATGAGATAGCGGATCCATACGAATCGGAGATTATCTGGACCACGGGAATACGTTTCCTTCGTTATAAACTCGATGTACAGGACCGCGTCGCATCTACAGCGGAATTCCCCCTTCCTCTCGAAAAGCCGGATTCCTGAAGCACGCGTAATCACCGGCTGTTTTGTTCCTTTCACTCTCCAATTCTCGCGCGTATCGTTGAATTCGATTCATTGCGACTGAGTTAAAAGATATTTGTACTGAGTCCAAATTAATTTATAAACTATGATTAAAGATAAACGACCCGAAATAACTCTGTGTGTGCGATATAAAATATAATATATAATAAAAATAATAGAAAATAATATATAATATTATATTATATAAAATATAATAATTAAAAGAAAGAAATTGATGAATGTTTACAAGAGTAACTACATTTAGGCTTTAATTGAAGACCGACTGGAAATTTAATTCAAAATAACGAAACGTAACTCTTACCGCAATATTTTATATGCTAATTCTCCACAAGATAAACCCGGAACAGAAACACTGTTGGACTTCTCCCGGAAGTTTGAAACCACGGATAGATAGTCTTTATCCGGCAATAAACATTGGGGTACCGCGTCTGTTGTTTTGCTTCCGTCGTGCATCTTCCTCTTTTTCAAACGACGTAAGAAATATCTAGTCATAAATAATATTATTCTCCTCGAACGTTATACGTGGAAGATTTCGTACCAATCGTCGAGCGATGATGACGGATAAGAAACTTGCTATATTTCTCGCTTGCTTTCCATTTCATCAACAGATAAGTCGAGTAAATATTTGGTCGTGTTCAATCATAGCAAAGTGTTCGAGACATTTACAGCAAAATTCAATCCTTAATGGAAAAATTTTTCCGAAAGAAACATCCTGTAAACGTATCTGCAATAAAGAGATTATGATGAAAAGATTTATTGAAAAATTATAATGAAAAATATTTTATTATAAAGTCATAGTTTACGAGTTTTCAGCAATTTTCTGGAGAAAAAAGAACTGCAACGACGGCGATTGCTTACCTCTTTCCAGATGGATCCGTCGTCGAGATTCGAGCCGACGACGAAGAGGACGGCGGCGGCAGAAGTGCATCGCCACGCCACCGGTGAGGCGATGACAGAGCTGGGCGAGGTGAAGGTGACCACGCCGAGCAGCAGCATCGCGACGTCGACGCCGCATACCAGCGGTGACCCGGCGCCTTGCAAGAACGGCGGCTGCAAGGTCTGGAGGAACAACCGCGATGGTAGTGGCGAGCCGCGTTCCGAGAGCCCTTGGCACTCGCTCAAAACAGTCTTCCTCGTCTCCGTGATCGTGGCGTTTCTCCTCTGGGTCATAATCTATACCCTGCTGGACCAATACCGGATCCTGTGATCATGATCATTCTGCAATCTTGATATGTTCCTCGTGATTGCGATTTATAATCGATCTCGCGCAAAACCATTTAGTCTACTTGATGACTGCGATGTCCTGATTCATTGTGACTTCCTGTCGGATTTCGTGCAATGGATCCCGCGATGCGCACAGACCATTTTCTAGGCAGAAATAAAAGCGTGCTAACAATTTTCGATCGTGAGGGATTTATCCTTCATAAGTAAGTTTTATAAAGTGGCTGCACCGAATACTTTTAATTTTACAGCGTGATTTAAATCGCGAAGATTCGATGAAATCTGTAAACACAGATTCGAGAGAGACAATCGAAAGCTCAAGGGTGAGGAAGGAAAAGAATTTCCGACAACCTTAAGCTTTCGTAATTAAGATTGCAATATTGTATTATATATTTCGTACCGTTTTATAAACGCTTTGTGACATTTGTAAATATATTCGAATAAAATATCATGTTATATACGCAATGTACGCAAATTATTCGACCCTTTACATAGGTCTCGAGCGGATATCGCGCGATAAATCGGTGTTCAAAAATTAAAAAATATGTACGGCAAACACACTGAATTGTAAATAATACTGAGATAGAAAGAGAGAGAGAGAGAGAGAGAGAGACGCGAATCTTGAGAAAATCTTTAAAAATTGCGCTGTATCTTAATAACTTTACAAATTAGTTAGAATTGATCGAAAAATTCCTTCGTTTTTTTTTCCATCACGCTAATCGACGAACAAACTTTTCGATCAAGATAGTTTAACGATATTTTTGGCCGGGACTGCAATAGGCGAGACAATTGTAATGTAGGGGAGAAAGAGGAGTGGATTCGAACAATTTAAATATCGTACGCCCCACGATATACATTTATACAGATTGGATTCTTCGCGATTTTTCTTACATATATCTTTTCTATCTATCAAATCGATGACACCAAAACTAAAGTCCCCTCTTCTCCCTTACAGTACCTGAAATTGTCATTGGTACGACGAAAAATATGACTGCGCACGCGATCGAGCATGTATCTCGCGGGACAATCGCATGGTAACGATCTTGGCGAATCCGCGGCAGACGACGTTATCGTTATCGAGAACGAGGAACGGCCCGGATCAACGACCGAAAGTCGACAACCGACAGCAACGTCGTCGAGCACGCGAGATTTGGAGACGCATTCGATGCAACAGCATCCGAGCGCGCAAAGATTGCGGAATGACGAAGACGACGACGACGAGCAGGAGGAGGAGGAGGAGGAGTTACCGGGCGACAACGTGACTTGTTCCTGTCCATTTTTTGTTTCTTTTCTCAATATACATATACGTGTCTCTATTGAAGGAACTCGTTTTAGTTCTCCGCGACGGAAAGACGCGCGCAGCCGAGAGTAATGTTGATCGGCTGGGACAGTTTCCGTTCGAGATTGATGCTGTTCCTGATCGCGTGCCTCCTCATCTGGGCCTGCATTTTCTTCCCTCTGCTCGCCACTTGAATCTCCCCCTCCTCGCGCTCTCGCGAGACATCGGCATGGCGATTCGATACGACGACATTCAACACGATCGCACACATACTTTCACATTTACATTTATGTATATATATTACGTCCAATATATAAGAACTTTACATTTTTTGGTATTAAATATTTACATGCGCTATTATTTAATCATAAATATATATTACTTTACGTTTAATGTGGCCTTTGCGAAGAGGACATTATCCCCAAACGGCTTATCCCCAAACCATCTTCAATTCTTGTCTTTCATAAAAATTAAATGCGCTTGTTGTGAGGTTTGGCTTTATAGACGCGAATCTTGAGAAAATCTTTAAAAATTGCGCTGTATCTTAATAACTTTACAAATTAGTTAGAATTGATCGAAAAATTCCTTCGTTTTTTTTTCCATCACGCTAATCGACGAACAAACTTTTCGATCAAGATAGTTTAACGATATTTTTGGCCGGGACTGCAATAGGCGAGACAATTGTAATGTAGGGGAGAAAGAGGAGTGGATTCGAACAATTTAAATATCGTACGCCCCACGATATACATTTATACAGATTGGATTCTTCGCGATTTTTCTTACATATATCTTTTCTATCTATCAAATCGATGACACCAAAACTAAAGTCCCCTCTTCTCCCTTACAGTACCTGAAATTGTCATTGGTACGACGAAAAATATGACTGCGCACGCGATCGAGCATGTATCTCGCGGGACAATCGCATGGTAACGATCTTGGCGAATCCGCGGCAGACGACGTTATCGTTATCGAGAACGAGGAACGGCCCGGATCAACGACCGAAAGTCGACAACCGACAGCAACGTCGTCGAGCACGCGAGATTTGGAGACGCATTCGATGCAACAGCATCCGAGCGCGCAAAGATTGCGGAATGACGAAGACGACGACGACGAGCAGGAGGAGGAGGAGGAGGAGTTACCGGGCGACAACGTGACTTGTTCCTGTCCATTTTTTGTTTCTTTTCTCAATATACATATACGTGTCTCTATTGAAGGAACTCGTTTTAGTTCTCCGCGACGGAAAGACGCGCGCAGCCGAGAGTAATGTTGATCGGCTGGGACAGTTTCCGTTCGAGATTGATGCTGTTCCTGATCGCGTGCCTCCTCATCTGGGCCTGCATTTTCTTCCCTCTGCTCGCCACTTGAATCTCCCCCTCCTCGCGCTCTCGCGAGACATCGGCATGGCGATTCGATACGACGACATTCAACACGATCGCACACATACTTTCACATTTACATTTATGTATATATATTACGTCCAATATATAAGAACTTTACATTTTTTGGTATTAAATATTTACATGCGCTATTATTTAATCATAAATATATATTACTTTACGTTTAATGTGGCCTTTGCGAAGAGGACATTATCCCCAAACGGCTTATCCCCAAACCATCTTCAATTCTTGTCTTTCATAAAAATTAAATGCGCTTGTTGTGAGGTTTGGCTTTATAATATTCAATTGTTCTTAATTATATTTGTTTATTGACGCATTCAAGATGGTTTGGAAGTAAATTCTTTAGTTGCGTGAGACACTTGGAAACATATCTCTTTCTCGCGCTCGCGCTCTCGCAACATTTTTCTTCGCAATATAACTCCGTCAATTTCTTCTTCCTTAGGATCGATCGCGATCAGTTTAACCAATCGCAACCTGGAAAGCCCGTCGCGAGCTCCATCGATTACTCTACATATACTTTTATTTACGGAACACTTTCGTTGTGTAGCATATCGTTATATGTATGTACGCCCTTATCTAATTTTTTTTTTATCGAGAGAGATACTCAAGATGATAAGTATCTTTTGTTTCGCTCTAGATCAGAGTAATATCGAGTACTGTCTTATGGTATAGCCTTTACGTATCCTAGGATGAGTCGCCGGAAATAGAATCCTTATTATCTCCCCTGGATTCGAAAATCAGAAAAGAAATGTGAACAATACAATGTGATTCTAAAAGTTTTCGATATTCAATGCATAAAAATTTAGCACAAAATAACTTTATATGTCTTAAAGATTTTCTAATTTTAATTTTTCCTTGTTTGAGGTCATTAAGTTGAATCCATCTTGATATGACTGCGATATATTGTACATGTATAATTCTTAATTAAATAATATTAATGACCTCTTTTTCTTGGAAAACATTTCAATTGTATCGCGCAATTTTTCTGTATTGTCGAACCCGAGAAAGATATTAAAAAGCGTCTCGTTTCCATCGAATCATCCTGTCTTATCGTTAACGATTTTCCTAACATACACGCGACAGCACGATCATGTAATATCCTTATAATCAACGGCTTATAAATACGTCTTACAAATACTACTAATTTGGCATGTAACAACCGTGACGATGCATTTATATGCTAGCATTTGCGACTGGCACGTCGCGTCGAGGGAAAAAAAAAATTCTCGTAAATACTTATAGGACATATCGAATTTCATTTTACACAGAGTATCCCGCGAAATACCCGGCAAACTTTATATCAAGAGTATTTTCAGAAAACTTTTATTATAACAGCCATCTATTTCCGCTACTAGTTTACAATTTTAATAATTTTGCAAAAAACAATTAGTGATGGCTAAAACCTTTTGTTGTTTGTTGCTTACATGGCCATGACCTTGGCATATTTCAAGATCATTGAAATTGACGAGATCGTTTTTAATATTCCATTTCATCACGATTTTTAACTAAATTAAATATTTATAAATATTTAATGACCGAGTTTTAAATATAAATTTTATTAAAGATCTATATCTAAAATTATAAATAAATTGTAAGACCTTCTTATCTATAAGTTCGCGTTTTTAAAGCTTAGTTCGCAAATCGGTGGCTTGCGTGCAAAAAACTATTTCTGCGCTTTTTATTAGCAGACACACACACACGCGGATTGAAACAATTTATAAGATCAAAATTTGTCGGTTATTAATATTGTCGGATACTCCGCGGAGCACCCGGTATACGTTAGTCACGCAATGTTGATCGATGGAGAAAGATTTCGAATATCTAAGTCGTTCTAACATTAGCTTGGAATAAATACAAATGATGTGATATGATTCGTATAAAATGAGGGATGTCTCGATTAATAGATGAAATTATCGAGTAAATCGCGAGTACAAAAAAAAGACGAGTTAAAAGTATCGCGGGGCAAGAGTAAATGCGTCTGGAATGCCACGATAGATAGTATTAGGGAGTAACCGAAATCGGTACATTTAACGGAATAGAATGAAAGTAAACGAGATATAACGTAATTTATCGTTATTGACGTTAGAAATAATCAAAATGATAAAAATTCATCCTTCTATTCTTCAAAATGAACAGAACATTTTTTAACTACGTTATGGCGACAATATAAGAAAGAGATCTCAGTATATATTAATAATATACGCAATTTCACACGAGAGAGATAACGTCCGAGTTTGATATATTCCTGAGCATCGAGATTTAAAAAAGAAAAAAAAGAAAAAAAAGAAAAAAAAAACAATCGTCGATTTGCGTAGCCTTTGTACGCGAACAGAGTAACGCCTAAATCTGATAGTTTTAAAATTATCGAGATTGCGAGATGAAAACATCGTTCTACATTCGCGGTTTAGCACATTTAGGGTTACGCGAAACGAATTTCACGCGAGAAAATAATAAAAAATATTCTTATATAATATTCTTAAACGCATCGAGATTAAGAAAAAGAACAGAAACAAGAAATCATCTATATCCGCGGCTTGTATGTTAGAGTAACGTGAAATGTTTTTACGTCCATCTCGGTGCAATCCTGAGGCCCGATAACGCTGTCGCCACCGGTACGCGACGGCACGCGTGCCGCCTGCTCCTCGATGATCTCGTTGTAGCTGTTGTCTAGCATCTTCTCGGCCGCTAGTTGCTGCTGTTGCTGCTGCTGATCCGCCGTTACCGTCACTCGCACGATCTTCACGGTCTTGATTGCCTCCAGAGAACGCGATACGTCCGCCGCCGCTGCCGAGCGGACGCTTCCCTTCGCGCCGTTCTCCTTGTTGCGACGAGACGAGCTGCGATGCAGACGCTGCTTCTCCCTGGACGAGGTTCTCCGCAGACTCGGCCGCTTCACCGACTCCGCGCTGGCGCTCAAGCCCGTGGCTGGATTCAACCGAGAAATTTCAATTGACAAAGTTGAACAAAAACTTGTACGCGGAAAGAGGCTCGACTATTTATAAGAAATTTGTAAATCAGAAAGAAAGATTATGCGTCAATTATAGATGTTGTTATGCGATAAACAAATCAGAAAAATATAAAGATGCTCTCATTTCGCTTTTAACGTCTCCATCTTTATTTAAAAAAATAGACAAAATTGTATAAACATGTATACAAATTTATAAACATGGAAATAGTTGAAGAGCCATAACAATAGCTTTATTAATTGTACAACAAAATCAATAAGCGATTGATACGTGAAATTGAGAAATATCTAATCAGTATTGATCTATTTTTTTTCGATTTTTCGAGAAAAACAATGAAAAGTTTTCGAAAAGTCGTGCAAATTTACCAATATTGCCGGAGGAAGACCGATTGGAACCGCGTAAAACATGTATCGCCGTGGGGTCGCTGTCCGTTGCTACTAGTCTTTCTCCCACAGGTGTGAGAAACCATTCAGATCTGGTTCGCATACGCGCGGCTTGTCTCTCGTGAACCTGCGTCAGTTAGTACATTTACAGTCCGACCTCAGCTGAGATTATCACCTGAGAGTCTTACCTGTGGCAGGTAGCTGAGACTTTTGGTACTCTCGGCGTAGCGATTCACCGCGCGCAACTCATCCAGGGTCATGCCTGCCGTCGCACGTCTAGAATGATGACTGCCATTACTCGACGAACGACTAGGCGCCTGTAAAATGTCAAATCTATCTACTGTGTCGTTTCGAATTCTTTTCAGCGATTCATTTTGAGAGCACTTTCGCGTTCTCTTATCGCATAGACAATATAAATACCTGGAACAGGCCGTTTTCTTCTAAACTAACAGAGAGACGCGTGTAACTCTCGAGTAAGGTATTTTCTGGGATCATGCCTAGCGACGATGCGAGATTCACTGTCTCCGGCATGTGAATCAACGCTGGAGTCGACTGCGATTCCTCTTGGTGTGACATACCTATTGCATAAAGTTGTAATTAGTACAATATTATTTTACAGAATGATAATCAAGGCCATAGAGACATATTGAACATTTTGAGCGAAAAATATATAAGCTCTTCTCTCGCACTATATGTTAAAATAAATTAAGTTCGTCCAAAGAAAAAAAGGAGAGAAAAGGAAAATCTTTTCTATCAAATACAAGTTTGTATCGTACAAAAAAGGAAAAAAGGGGAAAAAGAAGAAAAAAAAATTAAAATAAAAAAGTGTGAAAAAATATGATTTAATAATTATAGTAAAGAGCCAAAAGCTTTAATACTCAATTTAGTGAGATACTGTAATTTTACTTACATTCCAAATTAAATTTTAGTCCCCATCTTTCGCATTCGTATTGCAACCACGTCTTTTCCGCCTCCAGCGACAATTGTCCTAAAATTTATCGACTCAAATCACATTTACTCGCGTGGTTTAAATAAAAATGCGCGCGTCTCGTAAAAACTTACTCGATACGAGAGTATCTGGCGGATATCTAAAACTGAAGATCCAGTCTTCCTCCACCTTCAATATCCGGCCGGTTATGCGCGCATAAAATTCATAATTATCCCTTCCGAACAAATTCGAAACGCCAAAATTGTCTATCATGAACTTGGTGACGCGTGTGGCAATCTGAAAAATAAATTGTAGACTGTTGGATAAAATCTTGACGATTTTTCTTAACGAAAAAAAATCTACGCATAAATATTAAAAGAAAAGAAAAATAAAAAATGAAAAATGTGTGTGCATATATCGTTAAACATCTTTTTTCTATGCAAAAATAGAAATTAAATTGAAATAACATGATATCTCAATGCTTGAATAGTATTGATTAAAAACTACATTAACTTTAATTAACTAATAAACTGAGAAAAAAGAGAAATTATTTAATTGTGAGAAGAGATAACAAAGAGCAAAAAATAAAATAGAGATATCGTTTACCTTAAATCTGAAAACATCCTCCATCTTAGCAGTCTTGCCGTCGCTGACGCAACTCTGAAAAAACGAGGGTGCCACGGATACCCCCAGGGCTTCGCTGGTCATCCCCGTGTGCGCTCGCTCGCTATTTACCGCTACTACCCTGAATGTCCCGAATAGCAACACCAGTAACCGTTGTGTATATATTGGCATGGAGGTAATTAATCTGGAAAAAAAACTGCTCTCGTTAAACAGCTCGATAGAAATTACTCGAAAACGCGAATATCAATTGCGAGAGTTCACCTGTGTATCTGGTCCCGTTGTTGTTCTATGCTTTCTAGCTGAATTACGGTGAACAGCTGCTGCTCGCCCTCCTTCCCAAACACTCCGCCGGGTATTTTGCGTAAAAATTTCTTCAGAACGCTAGCTATCGTGTAAACACTAAAATTGTCCATATTGACGAGATGTCCGGTTTGCAGAAAGTGTATCAACTTCTTCATATTACCCTGGTGACCAGGTGCCCGAAAAACGTCTTTTCTGAGCGGGGCCTCCTTGTTTAATTTCAATATAAGGACCTGGAACAAGATAACATCATGATCATTGCTTGTAACTGTTTTATAAAATGTTTGAGAATAAAATATTTGAGAATAACAGAACATTTGATTGTTACTTACCAATAAGGGGCCAGGAATATCATTCTTACACACTTCGTCCAGGGGTACTCCAAATTTAACTCTATAAAAAGAAGAAAACAAAACGTTAATTTGACTTTGAAAAAAGACAATATTTGCTTTACATATCATTAAATATCAATTATCATGTTGATGAAAAAATTTAAAAGTCCTATATTATCCCAATTTATTATCTTGTCAAGATAACGATACATAAACACGTTAACATTTTGTGTCATTTTCATATCATGTTAATGACCATCTACAAAGATTTATATTTATTTTTTTTGATTCAAAGCATGCATAATTAAACACAACCATAGAAAGTTTTGGCACAAACTTAAAAATTTGTTTAAAATTTCTTATTACGATATAAATTACAATAATGTACAAAATTACTTATTACAACATAAATTATATTAAAATGTAATATAATATTGAACGACAGAGTATGCCCCCTAGTGGATATCCTATCAAATATTTAAAGAATGCAACCATGTAATATACCTAATATATATGTATAAATATAAAAAAAACTATCATTTCAATTAAAAAAAAAATATTTATATATATTATAAACAAGATAAAATTGATTAAAATGCAATACAAGATAAGAATGTGTTATTTCCAAGTGAAAAATATACTGACTTTTCCAGGCGTCTCGGATATGGTGGTACTGAGGAAGGATGTCCACAACTGGTTACAACATTTCCTAATGTAGCGGCGCGTCGATGCATCCTCTCTGTCCAGCTGCTCATTGTACAAAATCTAAGGATAGCAATGTCATGGGAGCATTTATACCACTTGA